AGACAAGAGAGGATGCAGTATGGTGCCCACCTGGAGGGTGTGGTCTTGGGAGTACACTCAAGGGCTCCTTGCGACAGGGAGATGCAGAGAACCGGCCCAGAGGCTGGCAGGTGAGCAGGGGGTGAGGTGGGAGCCTGGGGAAGTTTCCCTCTGATTGCTTCTGTTTTCCCAGTGAAACAGGAAGCAGGGTCATCCATCGGTGGACAGTGGATAGTGCAGGTTCTTTCCCCGGTGTTGCTGCAGATAGCCATGGCTTCCGCGGACCATCAGATGATTAGGTTGGCTTGTATTTAGGGCCACGCGGTAGAAAACACCTTTGAACGCCAGGATCACACTGGGCATGGTGAGAGCCCACACCCTGCTGGGTGGGGGGGACTTGGGGGCGACTGGGGGCAGGTCCCATGAGGTCATGTCCCCATCAAGGTGTGAGTGCCCACAGGGCAGGATGGGAGTGTAACTGCATAGTAGTGATTTGTGCATATGGTGCATCTTCTGGGCCAACACCCTTATTTTACAACATCATTATTTCATTTTATTTCCCGGCTCAGGGTAGAGAGGTTCAATGACTCGCCCAAGATCACGCAGCAGAATCCTCATCGCCCCTGCCATCATCATCTTCATTTTCATAGCCGCTACCTGCCCTGGCCGCTCCATGCTGCCAAGTGCACTTCCTCCTTCCAGCCTCTCTGAAGTGGCCACTTTTGTTGTACAGGTGGGCAAACATTACAGCGCAGATAAGATGCAACCCGGGGGATCATTCTTTCACCCTTTCTGTAAAAAATCTTGGGCAGAGACTGACTGGGGCTGGTAAACCTATGAGACAAGGCAGAAGGGGGGCTCCCCTTGAAACCTGAGAGCAGTAAATTTAAGACCAATAAGGGGAAGTTTTGCTTTGCCCAGAGGGGGTACCAGCTAAAAATACTAGTGGCTACAAGTAGTATTTAGATGAATTCATAGATAGTTGATCTTCACACAACAGTTGGAGTGAGCTTTTAAAAACATAAATCATATCACAACACTTTACTGTTTAAAACTTCCCACTATACTTAGAGTAAAATCTAGACTCTCCCCCCTGGGTGGCTTCCCTGCCTTTCTCTCATGCCCCTCAGCTCCTTGCTTACTTGGGTCCAGCCATGCTGCTCTCCTGGCAGTCTCTTGAGCATGCCAAGTGCTTCCTGCCTCAGGGCATTTGCATGTGCCCTTCTGTCTGCTGGACTACTCTCCTCTCTGCTCTTTGCCTAGGTGACTCTTTCTCATCCTCTATGCCTCGTCCGAAGTGTTACCTCCTACAGGGGGCTTTCCCTGCATGACCTCTTTCTCATCCTCTATGCCTCATCCTAAGTGTTACCTCCTACAGGGGGCTTTCCCTGCATGACCACCCAGCTGAGTCAGTACCTGGTCACTTGGTCTTGCCACCTTGTGGTTTTCTTCCTTGCCCTTATCACAAGACACATTACGTTATTTATTTTGTGTCCATTTCCTTCTGCGGAACAGTGGGTTCCATGAGGGCAGGATCCTGGTCTGTCTTTTCATCCCCATGTCCCCAGAACAAGAACCCTACTGACATAGTGCTTGGCATGTGCTGGTTATCTATTTAAATTAACTTACTCAGTCCCTGCACATCAACCCTGTAGGAGAGGTGGTGTTAGTATCATTCTTATTTTATAGATGAAGAAACTAAGGAACAGATTGGTTAGAAATTTACCCAAGGTTACAGCTAGTGAGTGGCAGAGAAAAGATTAAAATCCAGGCAGGGGGGCTCCAGAGTCTATACTCTTAGCCACAACTCTCTGTTCCCTCTCCAATATTTATTGAGAAGATCATCAGTAGACATTTCAGGAATGAATGAATGAACAAGAGCCAAAGGGAATGGTACAAAAGCCCTTGCAATGTGAGTTTGGGACCCAGCTCTGTCCCCTGTGAACTTGGGTCACTGATCCTAACTCTATTATGAAACAAAAACATAGGTGACCGGCTGGCTCAGTCGGTACAGCATGCAACTCTTGATTTCAGGGTTGTGAATTTGAGCCCCACATTGGGCATGAGATTACTTAAAAGAAAAGAAAAGAAAGGAAACAGAAACACAAAACCTCCCTGAGAATGCCTCAAAGTAATAAGAAAAACCTAACAACCTCATAGAAAAGTGGACAGAAGGCTCGCGAACAGGCTATTTACTGAAAAAGAAGCCAGGATGCAAAATGAACAAATAAAATAATGCTTCATCTGATTAGGGAAATGCAAATGAAGCTGACCTATTAGGAACAATGAAGGAGTCTGATAATAGTAAGTATTGGTGAGGATGTGGAGCAACTGGAACTCTCCTTCATTGCAGTAGATGAAGCGAAAATTGTTCATTGGTACCAGCACTTAGGAAAACAATTTGGCAGCTGTTGTAAAGCTAACCATGTCTTGATGACCCATGATTTAAATCTTAGGCATGTTGCTTAAAGAAACTCAGGTGTGTCTGCACCAAGAGACATGTCTGAGAACCATCATGGCAGCAAAAAACAAGAAACACCCTACATGCCCATTGACTAGAGAGTGGTTGGAGTAGCTGAGGTCCATGTAGACGATGGAGTACTAGACAGCAGAGAAAATGAATGAATGACAGCTGAAATGCAAAGTCATATATTTAGAAACATAGTGACACGTGAAAAAATCAACCCAAGGAGAAATGCCTGTGCATTGTACTTTTTATATAAAGGTAAAAAAGCAAACAAAACAACATGTTGTATAGGATCCATCCCCATATGGTGACACTATTTTTTTCAAAGCAAGTGAACGGTGACCACAAAATTCCGTACTGTATTGACTTCTGGAGGGAGGCAGGGAACAGAACTGGGAGGCACACAGGGGGCCTCAATGGTGCTGGTGAAGTTCTAGTTCCTAAGTTGGGGCAGTGGGTCCACAGATGCTTGTATTCATAAACCAGACATTCAACACACACTTTTTGTACTCATCAAATATTACATAGTAACAAAAATTAAGAACTTCCGTAGTTCCCAGAGTTGTTATAAGGATCAAATGGGAATGTGGATAAAGTTGTTCATTCATTCCACAAGCAACCACCGTATGCCAGGCACCCTCTCAGATACAAGGGAAGATACAAAAAGAGAGAACATGATCCAGTTGGGGAGAGGTGGCTCAAGACAGAGCAGTGAAGAGGACCAGCTCTTTGGAACCAGAGAGACCTGGGTATGAATCCCAGCTCTGCTCCTGACTAGTTGTGTGATCTGGGACAAGTTACCCAACCTCTCTCTTCCTCAGTTTTCTCGTCCGTAAACCAGGAATCACACTCTTGGCAATGCTAGGAGGCTCAGTTAAAGCTCTAAAGATAACTGGCTCGCCATGGTACTGAGCACTGAGCAAGAACTCAATAAAGGTCCCTGTTTGTATGAAGTGCTGAGGAGTTATCGTGGAGAGGAGCATTTCACTCTGCCCAGGTGAGCACTGAATGGGAGGAGAAGTTTGCATTGAATACTGATGGCTCCGAGGGGTCACTGAAGGTTGGAAGCAAGGCAGAGACAGGATTTGTGTCTCAGAAAGATCCATCTGGCTAAAGTGAGGGGCAAGACCAGAGCCAGGAAGTCTGTTTAAGAGGCTGTTAAAATAATCCAGGTGAGAGATTAAGGAGTCCTGAACTAGCAGGTCTGGAGTGCACAAGGACAGGAGGAGTGGAAAGGACAGATTCTAGAATAATTGGGAAGGTAAAACTGATTGGACCGGAAGATTATGTGTGGGGGCAAAGGAGACAAATCACCTGGGACAATATCCAGGTGTGATACCCCGAGACAGGAACCAGAAGGACAAGCAGGTTAGAGGGGAGAGCAAGATGATGCATTCAGAGTTGGTTGAGTTGATTTGGGGTATGTGTGGGGGGTCACTAAGTGGAGATGCTAGGACGTGCTGCCTTTACACCCTGGGCGCTCAGGCAGAGCTCAGCTTGGAGAAGGTAACTGGGAGTGGGTGAAGTTGTCCAGGAAGGCTATGGAGGGCACGCCGTAGTGCGAGGTGCTCATGATCCCAGGGGCAGGCGGAGGAGGAGCTGGGGAGACAGCAAAAGAGCTGACGGCGAGGTGGGAGCACGATAGGAAGGTGGGGGTTTTCCTGAAGCTGAGGAAGGTGAGAGCTTGAAGGAGAATGATGTGGTCCACCCCAAAGTCAGAGGTCGAAGAGTCGCACCGAAGAAGCCACCAGATCTAGCCGTCAGGGGTTGTCAGTGCCCTGGGCAGGAACATTTTCCCAGCACGGTAGGACTCAACTCTGGAGAAGCTTTTCTTTCCCAATGTACCTAGAGTGAATTATGGCCTTTCCAATGTTCCCTCTAGAGCTCCCGTTCACCCTGCCCACCCCCTAGATCCTCAGCATGTTAGCTCAGTGTTTATTCCTGGTGGGACTATAAACTTCAGGAACCACCACCAGAAATCCTGCTAAGCATTTTATCTCATTTGAGCCTGTTTCAGTCCAAGAAGTCTGTATTATTTTCATACCCCCTAACAGATGAGCAAACAGAGGCCCTGCGGTCAGGGACTTACTTGTCCAATACCGGGGATAGGATCCATCCCCAACTTGTGGGTGGTAGTCAAGAAAAACAAACCCAGGACACGTGAACCTACGACATCTGAACTGCGTGGTTCTCAAACTTGAGCCCACATACAAATCACCAGAGATTGGTATGAATTCGCAGACTCTTGGGCCCTAACTGCAGAGATTCTGAATCAGTAGGTGCAAAGCAGTGTCTGGGGACCTGTTTGGTGAACCAGCACCCCAGGTGATTCTCCTGCAGGCGACGGAGGGCCACTCTGGGGGCAACTTTAACCCAATCGTGCACCGCACACACGGTGGGATTTCAGGCAGCAGAGTGGTCCTGGACCCTGAAGCTACTGGTTTCTGGCCATCGGTTAGGGGCCCTGGCTGCGGCTGGGAGCTGGGCTGGGGCTGGGGGAGGCAGAGGGTGGTAATAAAGAAACAACAGGAAGCTCAGCTTTTATTAGCGCTGGGTAGTCGCAGCTGCAGGTGAGTAATCTGATTTCTGCGGCGTCCTGTTTTCTCTGCTGCCTGGCGGTTCCTCGACACCCACTCACCTGCCACCAGCCACGGGGGAAAGGGCGGGCGGGAGGATGGGCGTGGGGCGCCACCCGCCCGGGTCCCTCGCCCGCGCCCACGCGGGCACAGCCGCCGCGCCGCGGCCACGGGCGCACACCTGGTGCGCTCGGGGCGGGAAGCGGGGCTCGCGCGGCGGCGGGGAGGTGGCGCGCACGCGCACTCGCGGCCCCGTCGCCCCCCGCCCGCGCCCCTCTCGCGCCAGCTGCGCTCCTGCCCCCCCCCCCGCCCTTGGGGGAGTTGGTAGGCTTGGTGCCCTCCGGGCGTCGGGCTGGTGAGACTGGGAGAGAGATGTGGAAGTAAATGCTGGACCAATACCCAGGCATCAGGAAGACCCTAAGAGAGGCAAGTCTCAACTGCTCTGGGCCTCAGTTTCCTCATTTGTAAAAGGAGAAAGATGAACCCTTCATCATGAGCCCGTAATGCTAGCGAAGCGCCTAGAACACTCGTGCACAATAAGGGCAGAAGCTGTCATCGTGGCCATTAATGTTGCTGTTGGCCCCATCCGGAAACCGCATTCTCTCTTCTTATCCAGGGATGCTGGCCTTCCGTGCTTCGCAGCCCACATCTGGGAAATCGGGAGGTTGGGGAGGGCTTGGATCAGGAAAGTCCGAGGCGGTTTGAGAGAGTCAGGGACTTGCCCAAGACTGGGGATTGGTTCCATCCTTAACTGAATCAAGTTTCCCATTGTGGAATGGGGTTAATAACACCTTCCCTGACAATCCATAGAGATGTGAAGACCAAATGAGAAACCCAGAAACACTTGGTAAACGATAAAGTGCTGTCCACGTGAAAAGAACTGAAATTATTGTTTTTTTTCCAGGTGCCTCTTTGTCCTAAAGGGTCAAGGAGTAATCAGGACCAAACTAGATTTAGCCAGTGAGTTTTCAAGGAGCGCCTTGAGAAGGGCCACTTGGCATTCATCTCCTCTGGCTGAGCGCACTGCATCCTGCCTCATCGGCCCAGGGGTGGAGAGGGAGATCCTACCCTCATGCGGTTCATGGTCCAGTCAGCCAAGAGGCAAAGGTGTCGGGGGAGCTCTGAGGGTGGGGGGAGTGGACCCCCCTGAGGGGGTAGGTGATACAGGGAGGAGGACTTCTCAGAGGAGTCAGTCTTGAGGAATGGTTGTAGTTCAGGTAGGGAGAAGGGGAGGCACATTCCAAGCACAGACAGTGCCAGGAGAAAAGTCTGGGGACAATAAAGTACGTAGTGTGTTCAGGGAAGGGCATGAAATGTCTGAAATGCAGGGTGGGAAGAAGAGAGGGGTGCAGGATGATGATAATTGGGCAGAGCTCCATAGGGAGCTTGACTTTGTCCTGACGTTGATGGGGAGCCTTGCAGGGTTCAAAGCAGGGGAGCCATGTGGTCAGGTGTGGGTTCTAGAGAGATCACTGTGGTAACAGGTACGGAGGATGGATAAAAAGAAGAGGAAAGAGGACAGTTTGAAGCTGTTGCAGTGAGTTGGAAGTGGCGTGAACCAAGGTAATGGAACTTTCTTTTTTTTTAAGATTTTAGTTATTTATTTGACAGAGAGAGACAGCGAGAGAGGGAACACAAGCAGGGGGAGTGGGAGAGGGAGAAGCAGGCTCCCCACTGAGCAGGGAGCCCGATGTGGGGCTCGATGCCAGGACCCTGGGATCATGACCTGAGCCGAAGGCAGACGCTTAACGACTGAGCAACCCAGGTGCCCTGTAAAGGAACTTTCTGAAACAGAACAGCAGTACTTATGGTAGAACAATTTGAGGGAGAGAAGGTAAAGACAACTGAATTTTCTGTCTCTGGAACCCAGGAAAGGAGCAGGGGGAGGTTGCCTTCTGGGTACATGTCAGACATCCATTTCTCCAAGAGCCATCTGCCCCAGACCCCCAGATGTGGGAGGAGATAAGATCTGACATTACCAATGGGAGGCTAGAGAGAGAGAAGAGAATATTGTATTAGGAATCTTTGGTTGTAAGTGACCCAAACTCTATTTGAACCAGGTTAAGGGGGAAATTTTTTTTAAAGGAAAAGGAGAGATTGAGAATGTAGTGGCTCCTTTACCTTGGAGTTTCAAAGGGTGTGTCAACTTCAGGCACTGCTGGATCCAGGGTTCCTAATAGTGTCTGTGTTATTTCCCCACCATCTCATCGGTCAGTTCTGTTGGTTTCTGCCTATCTTGAAGAATAGGCCTTCTTCTGTCCCATGGCAGACAGACCATCTCCAGTCCCAGGAGAGATGCTCACATGTTTACATTCTGTCAGCTCACACTTCAGAAGGAAGGGTCAGTGGTCCCTACTAGCTGTATCGATGGTCCCAGGAAGGGCTCTGATTGACCCAGCCAGCATCACATGCCCCAGCCCAGTCACTGTACCAAGGAGAATGTGGCACTGTGGTTGGCTTCCTTGCCCTTCCCAGCTTGTGGGACCCCGAGATGGACCCCCATTAGCCCACGTGGACAGGAAATGAGAGGGGTTGGAAATATGCCAGACAGGTACAATAAGCTGGCGTACATCCCTGGCAGGTACATCCCTGCCTTGATTCAGTCCAAGGCTTGGAGGGGGGACCTCGGAGGACACCAACATCTACGAGATGGACAGAACTTGAGAAGGAGACCGAGGAGTATGCGAGAGGTTCTGGGTCTCCCAGGGTCTTCTCTGTCTCTTCCAGGGAAGTTCTGCAAGGAGTGAACGGGCAGAGGCAAATCCTGGAAGGGGTGACAGGCTCCTACTGTTCTGGGCTCCACCCAGCCACCCTCACCTGGGTGGAAAGGCTGTGGGCCCTGCTTCAGCCAATATAGGCGCTCCCCACTCCCCCAGCAGAGCCTGTTTCCTTATCTGTGAAATGGTGATTCCAACAGAACACCCACCGCAGAGGGAGACTGAGAGTATGAGGAAGATGGCACCGGGAAATCCTTATCTCAATGCCTGACACGTAGTAAGTGCTCAATAAATGGGAGCTGTGTACAGTGCTGGTGGAAGAAACTGGAGCAGTAATAGCACCCAGATTCCTGCTGGCATATAGGGTGGAAAGTACAGCCAGAAAATTCAGCACCACTGAGGCATCATTCATTCATTCATTCATTTGTTGACCAACCCTTAACTGAGTACCTGCCGTATAGCAGTCCCTATGTCAGACGTGGCAGATGTCAAGAAGGCTAGAGCACAGGAGTCTGAGGTAGTGTGGGATAGAGACGTGGTGGCCGATAGTTATGACCTGAGGTGGTAAGCACCACAGGGACTGGGCTGTGGGAGCTCAGAGAAACTCAGTCCTATGGAGGCACCCGGGCAGCCCCCTAAGAAGTCAGAATTTGAGCTGGGTGAAGACAGAGCTGACATTGCAAGTGTGCTCACAGTGGGCCAGGTACTGGGGGTGCCAAGCCTATGAGGTAGGGACTGTTGTCCCTGTTACATGGATGAGGGCCTGGGGGCCCAGAGAGGGTAGGCAGCTTGCTCAGGGTCACCATGCTTGTAAGTGGGGGCACTGGGGCTGGCTAGGAGCCTGATCCCCCTGGATGAGTTTAACAGGTGGAGAGAAGAGAGACAGGATGGCAGGCAGAGGGAAAAAGACAGTGTGACCCAGCCATCTGGGATGGGCTTGGGGAGCCAGGATTCCCACACAGGGAAGGGCCACACCTCTGAGAGTGTGGGGCAGGGGCAGTAGGACAAGCACAAGGTGGGAGCTGTGACCTCCAGCAAGTCCAGTGCCTCCTGGAACCTAACTCTCCTTATCAGTAAAATGGGGATAAGGAAGTCTGTTATCTTCATCCTCATTTCACAGATGAGAAGGCAGATTAGATCAAGGCCATCTGGCTGCAGGGCCCCCACGCTGAGCCACAACACCGTGGTTCTGTTGGAGCAGATGAGATGTGGGAGTTCACTGCCAACCCTCCTCTCTGTATCAAGGGTAGCCATGGAGCGCACCCCAAGGGAAGTGGGGAGCCTCCACAGGAGAAGCCCTCAGAGGAGCCCAGGAGACAGTCCTGTGCTCTTATACAGAAATCCAATCTCTTAAGACCCTTAGAGACAATATCATGCGTGCACCGGCGGGACGGTGCTTGTAACTTGCAAATAGAGAAACTGAGCCCAGAAAGAGGGAAGTGACTTGTCCAAGGCCACACAACCAGCTGGTAGTAGAGATCCATCTAGAATGCAGGTTGCCTGACACCTGGTCCTGCTCTCTTTCTCTATTCCATAATCCACTCCTCACAAATGACCTCTCCCCTGCCTCTATGCCAGCAATCTCTGCCGGTGCCGAATGTTTAGTGTGGACCAGGCATTTCATCTGTCTTTATGTCTGGTCCTCCAAACTACCCTAGAAACTACCCTATCCAGGGTAGCCACGGGGGCTGGAAATAGACAGATAATGCATGGTTTACTGATAGTACATTACGAAACATGTAAAGTACTAATCTGTCCAGACTCTGCCGTCCTAGAAGTGATACAATCCCATTTTATGGAAGAGAGAACTGAGGCTAGAGATGTGACAAGTCTGCCTCGGGGGCTCACAGCTAGGAAACGACAGGGTGAGGATTCGTGTGTGGTCATTTCTGACTCCAAAGCTGGAGTGTCCTGTCTGCACCCCGAGCAGCTGTCAGGTAAGGGATGAGCAGACCTGCCAAGGGAGGTGAGGAGTGCAGGCTGGAGGCTCTGATCCCCGGTCACCAGGAAGGTAACGGTTCTTATAGTGGCTCAACGGAGAGTCCTTGAAGTCAGGCTCCCTGGGTTTGAGTCTTGTTCTGCCATTTCTGCCCTCAGGCAAACCCCTGGTCCTCTCTGAGCCCCAGTTTCCTCATCTGTAAAATGGAGATGGTAATAACGTCGTCTGCCTCGGTGAGTTGTTGGAGGGTTAAATTAGTACGTGGCACACCGCGAAGGCAGTGGAAATCTGGCCTCTTGTTTGCTGGCATCCTGTATGTATGGCATTTGGTAGTGGTGTTCTGTCCCGTCTACCATTAACGGTGTTTGCACAGCACTTGTGTGTTCTGGAGCTGGCCACCTGGACTCTGCCACGTGCTAGCTGTGTGGTCTAAAGCTTAGAGGGAGATTGAAGGTCAGGCTCCTGGAGTTTAAGCCCCGGGTTGCTCATTGCATGGCCTTGCATATCATTTTGTATTGATAATTTCATATTATTTTTCTTAAAGGGGTTTCCCAATACCGTCTAGACTCTACTACCATCCTGCAGAATGTGGATCCACTCCTGTGTGTGCAGTGTACCTGGCCTCTCCAGTGCTTCGGTTTTCTCATCTGTTAAGTGGAAAGAGAGTTATTGTGCTGATTAGATGCAGTCATATGTGTAGAATGCTTTAAAAGTGACTGGCACGTAGTCAGTGCCCTATAGCTGTGGGCTTCTCAAGTGAATCTCCAGCTAGTAAATATGCTAAATGCTGGTAAATGTGCGACATGGTTTCCATTGGTCATGTTCTTTAATTATGTTTAATTGTCACAACCACCCTACCCATTTTATAGGTGAGAAAACAGAGGCTCAGAGAGGCGAGGTCACAGAGCTTGGAAGCCAAGTGGGTCTGATGACAGAGCCATGCCCCTAACCTTTGCCCTGATACCTCCCTGTTTATGAGGGGCCACCTGGCAGCCGGACCTGGAAGACTTAGGTCACACTGCAGGCAGGCCCCCGCCCCTTGCAGGGAGTCCGTGAGACCCCTGCCGGGGAAGAGCCCCCCCCCCCAAGTCTAGCTGGGCCTCGGGCTCTGCCACACCTAGTACCCTTGTCCCTCCTGCCCCCCCTAGAGCTTCCTCTTGAGCCCCTGTCACCAGAGGCCCTGGCCCAGGTGGGGCGGGGGCCAACGGGTGACAATGACCGATTTAGAAAGTAAAGTTGCTTCTCAAACAAATAAGAAAGAAGAGGAAAGAAAGAAATGGCCTGCCCGCTTCCTGCCCTACTCTCTCTCCCAGCACCTGGGGCCCAGCTGTGAGCTTTTCACTGCGTGTTTGTTCATCCTGCCTCGAGGAGCTTCTTCTTAAAGCTCCAGGCCCCCTCCACATGGGCGGAGGGATGTTCATGGAGCCAATGGAAATAAGCACCCTCCATGATTGCTGCATTGTCACTGTCTAGAGGATTGTTTTGGACAACAATACCAATAATCATAACAATCTGGGTTTCCTGCACTTGGCAGAGGGGGGGTTATCGGCTTAGACTTGGGTGTGGCCGTCCTGGCTGTGATTTCTGAGGTGTGAAGGCCCGGGCAGGTCATTATGTCTCTCTGGGCCTCAGTTTCCTTGCCTGCAGAGTGGGGATAGGGGAGGGCTGACGGAGACAAGCATGAGCACCCAACACACAGTGCATGGCCGGGTGGCAGCTCCTCGATCGGTCACTAAAGCCGGGGTCACCCAGGAGCACAATTTTAAGAGCCTCCCCGGACGTGGTGGGAGAGCGCAGTGGAATGGGAGGTGGAGTGAATGCCTGGCACGTTCTAGCCTCTGTTGTAAGGGTTTTATGCACAATTGCTCATTCCATCCTTACCACACCACATGGAGTAGATACTCTTGTCCCTGTTTTACAGATGAGATCAAGACACCAAAAAGTGACCTGTCCAAGGTCACTGCATCCGGTAGGTGCAGAGCCAGGATGAATCCAGCCTGTCCGGATCCAAAACCAGTGCTCTTAGCTGCATCCATGGCCCTCAGGGCAGCTGTGGCTGCACTGGATCTGCTTTGTCGGGTCACCACGGACAAGCCATTTCCTTCTCCGACTCAGCTCTTGATCTACAAACCGAGCAGCCCGTAACACCAGCCTACAAGACATTATACAGTCCTAAGGGAGAGGCGTGGTCAGATTTAGTGACCCTGAAGGGAAAGACCTCGAGTGAACATACCACAGGCTCTGGAAGCTGCCCGTGGCCATCACTCCCGCAATTATTATTAGTTTGACAGCCACAGGCGAGAGCCAGCCTAGAGGATGCTGAGGGCCCTGCCCAGCTCTGAAAATCTAAATCCTGTGGTTGCAGCTGGGGAGTAACTCCAGGAGGCACCTGGTGAGAGGTGGCTCCACCCGTTGGGGCTAAATAAATCCCCAAGGCTGCCACCAGGCAATCTGCCAGTCACCTGCCCTAATTAATGGTAAAGTCACCAACCCTGCTTCTCTGCGTCCCTTCCATCCCCCACGAGCTGTGTGGCCCTGGAGAGATGGCTCAACCTCTCTGAGACAGGAAAAGGACATGACCTTGCAGAGTTTTGATGCATTAGAGATAATGTAGACAAAGTGCTCAGCACAGTGCGTGCCACGTAGCTGAGAAGAGATGATGAGAACCTGAGCCCGGGGCCAAGCTGCGTCCCATTCCTGCGCCATTTCCTGTTGTGTGCCCTTGGGCGAGTTCCTTGGCCTCTCTGAGCCTGGAAAACGGAGGAGCCCTGCACCTGGCATACAGCAGTTGTTTACCTAAAGATTGTGCTTGGGTGACCATTTTTTGCACTTTATAAGGATGTCCAGAGGCCCTGAAAGATCCTGGGGGCATAGTGTTCCCTCCAGTGCCGGATTTCTCTGTCTGCCCCTCTGGAACTCCCCAAGGCCCTTCTCCATCCTGTTCTGTGCCCTGATAGGTGAATTTTGTGGGTGACATCAATGGCCTCCTTGGCCCTTTGGCTTCTGGTTGGGCAGGGCAGGGCAGGAGGGCAGAGGGCATGCAGGAGGGCTCCCCGAGCCCTTCCTGCAGGGTGGCCACGGCTTGGCCGTGTCCCTCACCCAAGGGCTCTGGCCCCTGCAGGCGGCCCCTTGCGTGCATACATCTCTGGCCCCGGGTCTGGGTAACTTCTCCCTCTCCATCCTTCGGGCTAGAGGTGGTAACAGCTCCCCGTTGTTGCCAACCCTAGGACACTGCACCATCCCTCTTGGTAGCCCTGAATCCTGACCACATCTTTGTTAATAGTCTCCTAATTAAACTCTCTTCAAACGACTCCACTTGAGTGCACCATCTGTTTCCTGCCAAGGCCCCGATCATGGTTTTAGCGTGACATGTATCCTGTTGTATTCGTCAAGGACTCCAGGTACGATAGAATAATAAAAATCCACACTGTTCGGGGCGCCTGGGTGGCTCAGTTGGTTAAGCGACTGCCTTCGGCTCAGGTCATGATCCTGGAGTCCCGGGATCGAGTCCCACATCGGGCTTCCTGCTCGGCAGGGAGTCTGCTTCTCCCTCTGACCCTCTTCCCTCTTGTGCTCTCTCTCATTCTCTCTCTGTCAAATAAATAAATAAAATCTTTAAAAAAAAAAAATCCACACTGTTCTCCCATATACATATTTATCCTCTTGAGTAACTTGTGCTGAGTCTCTGCTGTGTGCCAGGCTCTGTACAGGGAGCTGGGAGCAGAGATGACCATGATCTAGCTCCTGACCCCCAGGAGCTTCCAGACTAGCTGGGAGACAGACACCTCAAGAGACAACCATAGTATTTGCCAAAAGCCATTATAGGAGCATGTATAAACCCTGAGGTTCAGCAGAGAAGGAACAGTCATGCTCCGGGGGAGACTGGGAAGGCTGCGAAACAGAGGGACTTTTGAGTGGCAGCATTAAAAGATTGTTAATAACATATTTTATTTAACCAAATATTTCAAAATATTACCAATGTATAATATCATCAATTAGAAGTGATACAAAAATTCTTAAGGATTTTTGCATTTTTTCCCAAGACTTCAAAATCCAGTGTTGATTTTACACCTAGTGCACGTCTCCATTCAGCCAGACCCCGTTTCAGGTGCTCAGGAGGCACAGGTGGCTGGCCTTGAGTGGCATCTCATTGAGCGGCAGGGATCAGGGTCTGCTGAGCCTCACAACAGATCTGCGAGCCAAATGGTACTGTTTCTCCCACTTTACAGATGAGGAAGCAGACTCAGGCGTTGGGTCACTTGCCCGAGGTCACACTTCCTGATGGGGCATGATTTGAACCCACATCTCTGTGGTTCCAAAGCCTGTCTGTTCCTGCTGCCCTGTTCTGCCTCGGGGCCAATCCCTGTTCCCTAGAGTGAAGCAGCTGACAGGGACTGAGAAGATAAAACTTCAACTGACGTCCTCTGACCCCGAATCCTGTAATGTTTCTACATCAGTTAATTCTATGGGACAGATTGGGGGAAGGTAACAACCCTCCAAACTGGGTTCTGACCCCTGTTCATCTAGGGTCTCTGAGGATAGGGCAGCCAAAGAGAACTGGGGACTGCTGGTACATTGTACAATTCTCTTTTGGGGGGAGTTGTGAATGGGTGGAAGGCCCGGGCTGCACCAGAGGGGAGGTCTGCCATGGTAATGGACTAGGTATGCTGGACAGCAAGTCACCTCGGTGTCTTCACCTACACCACACTCAGCAGTCCCTTCCCAGCTGAAGACACTGGATTGTCCAGAAATACCCACTCCTGAGCCTAGTGGCGTACTTGGAGTTCACAGTGAATTAGTCACAGTCATTTTCACACTGATACAGGGGAATTTAGTTGGGATGATAAAGGTTAAGGCCTTCTGATGGGCAGCTTACCCAGGCTCTCATGTGCAAGTCCTGGGAGGATTCTTAGACCCATATCCATGCTTTGGAGGAGAACCCAGAGTCATGGAATAATGGCTTAGAAGCAACGGGAGTTCCCTGGCAAGTCCAGACTATGTGTCTGGTGACTGCAGAGATGCGTGTGATACTAAAATTCGTGATCAGGGGTGCCTGGGTGGCTCAGGCGTTAAGCATCTGTCTCTGGCTCGGGTCATGATCCCAGGGTCCTGGGATCGAGCCCCGCATCGGACTCCCTGCTCCGCGGGAAGCCTGCTTCTCCCTCTCCCACTCCCCCTGCTTGTGTTCCCTCTCTCACTGTGTCTCTCTGTCAAATAAATAAAATCTTAAAATAAATAAATAAATAAATAAATAAAAATAAAATTCGTGATTGGTAGCTGAGTATTCACCCACCTCTTCGCTGTTGTCCACTGTCCACCTGCCTATAGAATCAGTCATCCATCCAACCATCCATCCATCCCCTGTCCACCTGTCCACCCCTCCAGCAACCATCTCTCGAGTCCCTCGTTCTTTCCTCCACCCATTCACTCATTTCTCCCCATTCTGTCCTCCACCGGGTCCTGTGCTGGGCGCTGAGTGTGCAACAATGGGTAAGACTCAGATCTTCATTCAAACCCAGTGAGGGAGACTGACACTTCGTCTAAGTGAGGGAGGCCAGTGTGGTGATGGATGGTTCTCGGAGGTGCAGTGGGAGCTTGGAAGAGGAGCTGCCCAGATGTCCCTGAGAGTGTCAGAGAAGGCTTCCTGAGGAAGGGACACCCGAGCTAGTCTTGAAAGAGGCACAGGGACTTGTGAAGCCAGAAGAAGGCAGCCTGGCTGATGAGTTGGGCAGTGATGCAGGGTGGCCAGTGACACAACAGAACCCGCAACAGAAGCTGGTGGGAGGAAATGAAGGAAGACTGGCCCACCGCCAGGATCTCACCCCAGGGTTTCCAGAGTGGCTTAAAAATGGTGACAGGGCGCCTGGGTGGCTCAGATGGTTAAGCGTCTGCCTTCGGCTCAGGTCATGATCCCAGGGTCCTGGGATCGAGTCCCGCATCGGGCTCCCTGCTCCTTGGGAGCCTGCTTCTCCCTCTGCTTCTCTCTCTCTCTCTCTCTCTCCCTCTGTCTCTCATGAATAAATAAATAAAATATTTTTAAAAAATGGTGACAACTCAGGGGCACCCGGCTGGCTCAGTCGGTGGAGCATGTGACTCTTGGTCTCAGGGTTGTGAGCTCGAGCCCCAACGTTGGGTGTAGAGATTATTTAACAATAAAATCTTAAAAAAAAAGAAAGAAAAGAAATGGTGACAACTCAGAAGTCTGCATCAGCCTTCCCCAGCCATGCCGTCACTTAGCACAGCACAAGGTCTGAGATTTCAGAGCTGGAAGACCTAGAGAGCATCAGAGTTAGTCCTGCTGTTGTAAATCAGGGGAACTGAGGCCTCGAGAGGAGAAAGGACACGCCAAGTCACAGAGTCGGGGGTGAGGAGGCGAGCTGAGGTCTCTAACTTCCATGCCCGTGTTGTTTGGCTAGAGTCTAGGCCCCCTCCCCCATCCTCAGCAACATTGGAGGCCAAACGCTTGCAACCCCTCAGTGCCTGGCACGGTGCTGGGCCTGGAGATGGGGACCTTCCATGTTGCCCCTGCCTCCTGCCCTGTCCCCACAAACAACCAGATTGGTAGAGCTTATTCATGCTCTATCCATTGTCCCATGTAATTCCCACAGCAGTCCCAGAGGACTGGCATTACTACTCCCTTTTACAGAAAAGGAGGCTCAGAGAGGGGAAGGGGTTTGCCCAGAGTCACACAGCTCAAACACAGCGGAGCCAGCATCCTGACTCCCCGTCCTGTACCTGATCCGAGACACCAGGCGACACCTCACATAGCTTTGAATATTCTGGCCCCAGATTGACTCTGTGCCACGGAAGTCAGGGGCTGTGGACAGTTCAGCAGGGACATGGACGTGAGGGAAGGACCCCGAAAAGGAACCCCCAGAGATTGTTTTCACCTGGAACCTGCTCTACCCCGCCCAGCAATGGAAAATGTGTGTCAGAGGAAGCTGCTGGTTGAGGATGGGGTAGGTATGCGTGGGTGACAGCATTTGGAGGGGCACCACGGGGCGGGCAGGATGTGCTGGGGGTGGGGGGCAAGGTTGGGGTGCTGGAGCAGGTTGCAGGTTTCTGCCCCCCGCCCGCTGCCTTTTTCTTTCTGGCTCTCACTTTCTTTCTCATGCTCTCAGAACTAACAGTGCAACTTTCACTTCCAGGCAGACGGGCAGGCTGTCCTGTGAAAGCTGTCCCCATGTTCTACCTTCCAGATCTCCTTGGTCAATTCTCTGCTCAATAGTTCAGTCAACAAGCATTTATAGAGCACCGGCTGTGTGCTCAGATGCAGGGATGCAGGATGGCCCCTTCCCGGAGAAGTACATAATCTCGTGGAGACAGAAATATGACAAGACAGGTACAATACCTGGATGACACAATCCAGTGAGGGCAGTGGGAGTAGTGGGCAGAGAGACCTTCTGGAAGACAGTACACCAAGCATAAGGGAGGTAATAGTAACTGCTCTTCCATGTGCCAGATTAAAAGGCTAAGCCCTTTAAAGTCTTTTATACCCATCCATCCTCAACTCTGTGAGATAGGAGCTGCTAGTATTCCCATTTTACAGGTGAGAAAGTTGAGGCATTGGGATAAAAACTTACCCAAGGTGTCACTGCTAGACTCTAGGAAATGGGGGAACCAGGATTCAAATCCAGGCAGTCTGCTCTTCACCGCCCTACCGAAGAGAGGGAAGAGGGAACAGGTGTTGGGAGCAATAAGAGGGAGGGCCCCCCCAAGGAGGTGGTGTATCGGCATTAATAGTGGAGGGCAAAGTGCTGAGAAGAGAGGCTGGGGAGCATTCAGGGTCCAGGCAAGGAGTCCCTCCAAGCATCACGTGGGGAACTGGGGAGTTGTGGACAAGTTTTGAACAAAAGAGTGACATGGGCATGTCTATTCTAGAAAGGGACCCCCCGGGCGCCTGGGTAGCTCAGTTGGTTAAGCAACTGCCTTCGGCTCAGGTCATGATCCTGGAGTCCCAGGATCGAGTCCCACGTCGGGCTCCCTGCTCAGCAGGGAGTCTGCTTCTCCCTCTGACCCTCCTCCCTCTCGTGCTATCTCTCATTCTCTCTCTCTCAAATAAATAAATAAAATCTTAAAAAAAAAAGGGACCCCCCCCCCCTTTAAAGTGGTGATCGGTGCGAGCAATGGACAAAAGTTAAATGTGATTTGTTTCAATGTGTTATTAGTTTCCTAAGGCTACTGTAACAAGGTACCACAAAGCCAGGGTTAAGGGAACAGAAATGTGTTCTCTCTGTGTTCTGGACGTTAGAGGATTGAAAACAAACCTCATTGGGGTCATGTTGTCTAAGACTCTGGGTAGAGTCCT